AGAAAAATTCCTTTCAAGTGCGCATCTCCTCTTTCCATGAATCCAAAACATTCATGGAGAAATGGGGAATTCTCTTTCTCATGCATGTCCTCCTCAAAATTTGGTGCTTCGAGCTTCCTTAAAGCTTTAAGTTTTATATTGCATGGGTTCTAACAAATATAAAGAACTTGCTTTCAAGCACTCTTTTCCTTTCATTTGTAATACTTTGGAGCATCGTCAGGCTCTAAATATTGCATTACATGAAACGTCAAGACTTTAGGACCAAATCCTAAGTTGCAACTCTTTTGTTGAGATCCAAAATCAACAAATAACTATCATCCCCTTCATGTGTGATGATTTGGATCCTTCCAAAATTTCATAATATCGCTACATGAAGACTTTGAAGCTTAGAACAAACTCTTAAGCTTCCTCGTTCATTTATTGAGACAAGATCAATAGATGAACATCTTCCTTCGGCATAAGATCCCAATCTTAGCTTATCATATTTACGTAACCCAACTTAGGTAGATGAGCTTATATCATTTAGTACAAACTCGCTGATTGCTTCTTGATCCGTAGTTCCAAAACTACAAATCATTTCCCTCTTATACATGACGTGTGGAGCTTCCTCAAAGCTCCAAAAGCTTCATTGTATAACTCTTATAACCTTAGGATGAAAATCCTAGGTTCATTTTTTTTCTTGTTGACTCAAAATGAACAAGTCAACATCATTGTCCCTTATTGTGTATGTCAACTTGGGTTTCCCTAAAATCCAAATGCATGCCAAGAGACCTTGAACTTGGAACTAATTCCCAAGTTCTTCTATCCTTTGTTTGTTGGAAACATAAAATCAACAAACAACTACCTCTTTCATGCATGATACTTGGTGCATCCTCAAAGCTCTAAGTTTTGTGTTGCATGAAGTCTAGCATTCATTGAGAGCTCTCTAGTAGATCCTCCTAATGCTGGACGGTTTAGAGCGCCTCAAAGGCATGACTTAAACTCTGATTTAGGAAATTTAGAACCCTTAAACGTTGATACCTTAGCCCATCCTGATCTTAATCTCATCAAGGATATCTCGTTAGATAAGGTCTGCCTGGATGATATTAATTTGATCTTGAAAGAAACTGATCTGACCTTGAGCACATTGAAATTGAATTCAGAAGACAGTAATTTGAATCTAAATGATTCTGAGCCTAATTTGAAACATGGGCATCCTCTTATTTTATTGGAGTCTATTTTAGGAGTTGCTCCTTTAGATTTACATTTGAAAGAGTGTGTCTGTTTCGATTAGACTTATCTCACCATTCCTCATACCGACTTTAATGTTAGAGAAAGTATTAACCCATACTTTCATGTCACCACTCTAACTGTTGTGCCCACATCTGTTCTAGACACTCTACCCCATCTTTTTAGTCACATATCTGCTGATGATATTCTTCTAGTTGATAAGACTAGAGAGGGAGTTGAAGGTAAACTTGAATTATAGAGGTCAACCTTACAGTCTAAAGGTTTTCGCTTGAGTAGATCTAAAACAGAATATATGGAGTGTAATTTTAGTAGTAATAGACCTAGTGAGGGGATTGTGACTTTGGGTGATCAAGTCATCTATAAGAGTACACGTTTTAGATATCTTGTATCTATTGTTCAGAGTGATGATGAAATAGATGGGGATATTATTAGCATAATTCAAGTTGGATGGTTGAAGTGGAGGAATGCATCGGGCTTGCTGTGTGATAGAAAAATACCCCTCAAACTTAAGGGAAAATTCTATAAGATGGTGGTGAGGCCTGCAATGCTTTATGGTGCCGAATGTTGGTCATTAACAGAGAAGCATAATACTAAGTTAAGTGTGATAGAGATGAGGATGCTTAGGTGGATGAGTGGCTTTACCCTTAGAGATAGGATATGAAATGAGCATATGCGTGAAAATGTTGGAGTAGCTCCAGTATAAGATAATATTAGAGAGAGTTGCCTTAGATGTTTTGGTCACATAAAACGGCCGCCTTCGGATGACCCGGTTGGGAAAGTAGAGGTATTAGATTTGATTTATTTTAAGAAAGGTAGAGGCAGACCTAAAAAGATTTTGTTTGAAAATATTAGAAATAATCTTTCTTTATTAGATTTAAATGAGAATTTGTCTTTTAATAGGACACAATGGAGAAAAAGGATTCATGTAGCCGACCCCACGTAGTGGGATAAATGCTTGATGTTGTTGTTGTTGTATTTTCTTTTCTCCTAACTTTATATTTTAACTTTTAATGGACTTGATGAAGCCTGAATAATCATTATTAACTTATTAGAAAAAATGAGTATGCCCTCTATATCGTGCTTTTGGCTTTGGTGAGATGGCAGAGGATCATAAGTCCAATGTTTTGTGCGTAGAAGACTTATTAATAACAAAGTTCTTTGGGTTCAACCTTTGGCTCTAGACAAACATTGGCATAACTTCTTCGATCTTATGTTTTTTTTTTGTTGGATTATTGAAGAATATATCTTTCATCTTCTTTTTATGTTTTTCCAAACTTTTTCCAAACTTTGTCAAAAAAAAAAAAAAAAACCCTTCATAACAATACCATACCAGGCTTGGTGCCTTATTAAGTGTGGATTATTCTTTTGATGTAAGAAGATCTCTTTGTTTTGGGCTATTTGAACTCATTAAGTTGAATAGGCTTGAGACTTGGCAACTCTTGTTATTAAACTAGCAAAGTAGAAATTCTCTTACTATAGCCGTTCTTATAGTTAGTTGAGTTATTGGAGTTTTCAGTAACTCAACTATATTTGGGATTGTTGTATTCGACCTTATATAGCATCTTAACGTTTAAACTTGAGCTATAGATACTGGTGGTTTCCTTACTCGGTATATTGAATTTTGTATTTTGATATTCTTGTTTCTTGGTTTTCAAGACATGGCAATTTGTATGTTTGCAAATCCTCTATTTGACTGCATAGATGCTTTACTGAATAAGACTTGTCTTTTTTGACTTTGGCTTAATCTATTGACCAATCGAGAAAATTTATTAAGTTTGAGTTGATCAAACTTGTCAACTTGGATAGGCTTTCAAGTTGTCAAATTGACAAAGCTAGTGTTCCCTTACTGCGCTCTTTTTAATGGCTTATTAAGTATGGTTGCCAGTGACTTGGTCATATTTGAGACTATTGATTAGGACCTTATACACCTCCTCAAGCCTTAGAATTGATTTATGAAAGCTTGTGCTTCTTTATCACGACTTGTTGAGATTGTCATATCTTGAAGTCTTTTCATTAGATTTATCAGATTCTTGGCGATTTTAGGAGATAAATTTCTAACTTCTGGATTGTTATATATGCCTTCATTTGGAGTCATTGGCTTTTGCTCATGCTTGGCATGATTAGAAAAAAGTACATTATCCATACTTTTAAATATTTACTTGTGATTTTTAATAAAATATATTATCAACCCAATTAAATATTTAAAATACTTTTATCTCTAAGGATAATTTCGATAAGCTTCAAATTTTAAAATTTAAAATGTCCAATCTTGCATGAAAGTTCTAGCAAACGTTGGCTATAAAATTTAAAAAAAAGGCACCCATGATACAATGAGTTTTATGATAATCTAAAAAAATTTTCTTGTATTATAAGAGAGCTTTAAAAAAAATTAAGCATCACATTTTTGTATATAAAGAAGATTCGTGTTTTACATGGGGTGATTTTATGAACATTATTTTTTTTTTAAACACTGTCGTTGCCAGGTCTCAAGTCCTGGATGAGAAAAGTGGAGGGTTGTGTTAGGTAGTTAACAACCAGTGTAAAACTTGTCGAATAATAATGACATGAATCCTTTAAGAAATTATCCCCATGTAGTATGTATTGGGATGAAGGCTTGATGTCGTTGTTGTTATTGTATGTTTAGTACTTCTTTAAATACTGACCGTTGGTTAGTGGCATAAGTCTTTCACCGTTCAAATTGATCATTTAAAAAGACATCATGTGGCGATAGCAAGGATTTAACATGTACGAGTTGCAGGATTTTCGGGTATGGGATAGAGATTCAAAATTTGATTTTTACTTTTTAATTTTTAAATTAAATAAATAAAAACTTAATAATAAATTAAAAGGGTGTGTTTAGATTCTCACTCAATTTCTCATGCATCTCAAAATGTATATTATTGCCTCGAGCAGAGACAAATTTTATGTTTCGCTTTTGTACGGCAACCTTGGCAATATGATTGTCCTTGAGTAATTTTACCTTGAGCATCCGCACGCGTGCAGACACAGACGCAAAAAAGATTGTTTATTTATTCTTTCATTAATCTAGTGTTGATTGTTATAAAGATTTATTCTTTGATGGATTGTTTTTATTTAGATTTGTTTGGATCTAACTTTGTTGTGTTATGTTTGCTAGAGTGATCTTTATTGTATTGTAGCTCTTGGGTTGTACTCTATTTTATCTATTGTGATTGCATTCTACTTTATCAGCCTTCTAGTGTGTTAAAGCTGTTAGATTGCACGCTATTGTATCTATAGTAGGTAAATCTTGTTTGAACCCTCTTCGAACAATATACAAACACTATTCAACCATGTTTAGACATGGTTCAAACCATATTGGAACCTTGGTTGTACAAGGTTTGAACCTCCTTTGAACCAATTTCATTCCGACTTACTTTAAATAAGTAATGCCTCAATAAAAAAGAGTATTTTGTTCTAAAACAAATTTTCGGGCACATTTTTTCAATTATGGCTGTATAATTATATATACACTAACAGCTATGCAAGTGATATATCCATACACACATGCATGCTCAAGAGCACAGGGACATTTGGATACCTAGAGATTGGTTATAAGATGGTGAAGGATGTGAACCTAATAGAAGGGTAAAGGATGAACTATTGAAATTGTTTGCAATTGCATGCTCCAAATTTTAACTCTTAGGTCAATGACCAGATTGAGCTACTTCTGTGAATTACAAATTGTTTCATTTTGTTTCTGGATTTCCTTTGCTTGACATAAAATTGATCCTAAATTATTTTTCGAGCAGCCTGACCAAAATCCATTTGGAGATGTTCCTTTCAAGGCAATTTCAGGGGAGGATTTACCATCAGAAACAAATACATCAGCTTTTGCTACTTCCCAGGCTCCTTCTGGTTTTGTTAGTGCTTCTGAAATTAATTTACCAATAGAGAAAAAGATGGAGCCGTCTCAAAGCTATAATTTTGGAAATACCTTCGGAGGACCAATTTATGCTCCAGATGTTGTGAATGATCAACCTTCTTTCCCTGATTTTTATGCTTCAGAATTTTCTGCTGCAAATTCAAGCAAAGATATTCTAGATGGAATTCTCCCATGGACTGGCCCTGTAGCCTCAGCTTCATTTCAGGAAACTCAACCTGCAGGTCAAATTCAGTTTCTTTCACAACAAGGGTTTTCAGCTTATTCAGCTTCCCATGCACATAATTCTACAGACACCGATTCATCAGATCTGCAGATAGGTCAAATAAATCCATTCGAACAACCCAAACTTTCAAATCATCTAACTGGACAAGCAAATCCATTTGCATGCCAGGTATTTCAGCAAGCTTCTCCAAGTGCAAATGAGATGAATTCTACAGATAATTCAGTTCCTGTTTCTCTTCATCCATTTCAACCTGCATCTCTCAATGGTATGCTAGCTTCTCATATGATTTCTATGGACAAAAAAGGGCTACCAACGTCAAAAACTACTTCCATTACTCTCCATGCTGGCCAATCTACTGCTCCAGCTAATTATCAAGGGCTTCAAATAAATCAATCTCAGCAGCAAAATCTTCAATCCCAAGCAATTCCACTATCATCTAGGATTGACTCACATATGTCTCAGATTAATAATCTAAACCAATTAGGGCCATTAGCTCCACAAACATTGCAGTTGGCTTCAGGTCCATTCCAGGCAGTTCAGTTTAGTGTTCCAGTAAATGAACATGTGGAATCTGCTCAACTAAATCCTTTACAGCATCCAATGGTGACGGCTTCCCAGTCATTATCATGTACTCCAATTTCATCACAGCCATTTCAATCATCCGATCCTACCATTATACATGCACCTCCAATTAATCTTCAGCCATTTCGACCAGTGGCTTCAACTAGCTTACATGGAACTCAAATAGCATTTGAAAACATACCAGTTTTTTCACAGGCTGCTCAAAAAGCTACACCAAGCAATATACAGACAAATCAGCCCAGTTTCACTCATTCAGCTGTACCAGATCTAATAATTTCTGCACAAGGATCAGCAAAGCCTCAACCATCTAAGAAGAAATTTGAACCAAAATCTGCAGTCTGGGCAGACTCAATAAGCCGAGGGCTGGTCAATGTCAACATATCTGGATGTAAGTGTTTTTAGGTGCCAGAAATAGGAGAAATTATTACGTGCGGAGTCCGGTTACATCCAGACTCCAATAAAAATGTGATGTATTTTTGTACACAGTGTATACACTTTATAAAATTATGTATATAGTATGTACAAACTTATATACATAATATACACATTATGTACAGATTTGTACATAGTGTATACAAATTTATATACAGTGTACAAGGACACATGTCATGTTTTTATTGGAGTCCGAACGTAACTCTAATTCCGGACTCCGCACATAATAGTTTCTCCATAAACAAAATTTCACCTTCAGTTTTATTTATAGTCATAAACAAAGTGCTATTTTCACTGTAGCCAAGACAAACCATTTGGCGGATATCGGAATCGACTTTGATGATATTAACCGGAAGGAGAAAAGAAAGGAAGTGAAGAGTTCCCAAACTCCATTGCCATCTTCCCTTGCCATGGGAAGAGCTATGGGAGCTGGTTCTGGTCTCGGTCGTGTTGGTACTGGTTCTGGTTTGTTTACCCAGCCTCTGAATCCAACACCCGGCGTCAACGCGGGCTTGGGCATGAACCGGCCATACATGGGAATGGGGATGGTTGGTAACATGGGCATGATGCACCCATCTTCAGGAATGCCTCATCAGCAGGGCCCTGGCCTTCCAGGTGCTCACACATATGTACGTGGTGGGTATAGTTGAATTTTGGCCTGTAGGTCATCATGTAGACAAAAAAAAACCTTACAAAGAATATCTCATATCACACCTTTTCACATAGCCAAAGGTACTATGATGACCTTTGTGGGTTACAGTCAAGATCTTGGATTCGATCCTCATCAATAGTAAATAAACTCCCACTTAACGAACTTTGGGTGGCAGAAAAAAAGAGTATTCTTTAAGCATAGAGAAACACATTTATCGTTCATATTGAACATATTGCTTGGTGGTTTCCATACTTACCTGTAAATGAAGAGTGATGATAGAATAAGCCTGTTGTCATCAGCTGTGGCTCAGACTGGGCAATAGTGCAAGTTCTCACAATTGATACCTTTGTGGCATTCCATTTTATGGTTTAGGAAAAAGATAAAAAGTTGTATTCATTCATAACATTTTTCTGTACCCATTTGACTTTTTTTAAGCTCATTTTTTGCATAATTTGTCTGAAGTGTACCCTTTTGAGTGTTATAAATTGCATTCGATGCAACAGCAAATTGTTGTGATGTTCACATTTTTATTATTATGCTTGCATCATTTGTGATGGCTTTCTTCCTACTTAAAAATAAATTTTTTTATACAAAAATTTTTTACTATAAAATTGTTTTAAAAAAAAATAAAAAATTATCCTAAAGGAAGCTTTATTCTACACATACAGTTTAAATTTGTTTTTGCTGCTTAGCTATATAGCTCGTTGTTTATGGATGGTTTGATGAGTTTACATAAATATAGCAGCCTGCGTTCTGCTTCCCTGCAAAAAATGTTTGCAAAATGATTCTTCTTCTTTTAAGCTTCTCAGAAGTTTGTTAGTGCTGATTGCAGTTGAGCATCAAGTTTAGGTATGAATTTAATTATTATTATTATTTTAGAACATTTAAATCAATTAACATCACATACGTAACATTTTATTCCAAAACATTTTAATTGACAGTTAAAACTCCAAATTAATAGATCAATGATAGGAAACACTTGGATTCAGAAGTGTTCCTAGCCAAAATCAGCAAACTCCAGCAGATTTATTGCTGTCCACAGCAGGAAACAGCCCAAAAAATAGAGAAAAAACAGGAGTTACACGAGAAATTTGAGAAAAAACGAAGAAAAACTCTTGTATTTCACTAGTAGATGAATAAAACGGCAAAGATACAATTGATCCTCAATTCGAGAGGAGGATCGATCTCTCCCAAATCTCTAGACGCTGCTAGAGCCCAAAGAAAACCTAAATCTAAGAGATCTCAAATTTCAACCAAATTCAAGATACCCCCAAACCCTACAAAAATCAACTACTTAATGCATACAATTCAAAAGGAATTCCCTAAACAGTCCCTGCAATCAATTTCCCTCCTAAACTTCCTCAAATTTCCTTCCCGAAA